AATTTATGGATAATATGTAGTTTAAAAGTGTTTATTGGGGCTTCTGGTTTCAGTTCCAAGATGTAAAGAAATTAAGTCGAGCAGGTCCTTATACAAAATAAAATAATAACGAATCTGAAGAAAGTGAAAAACCAGTGCAAAACCTGACCACCTATCACCAACAAATAAATACAAGTTATAATTGGCATAAAATCTCACTTAGAGAACAAAGTAAGAAAATTTTAAGAAAGTAAATTTTAAAGATCACTCTCTCTGGAGAAAAAAAAAAGATTCTTGGAAAGACACTCTTCTGTGATGTCCATTGAAAGATCAAGATAGAATTTGGAAACTAGAAAAATGTCCCATTTCCACATATCCCTGCCTGCATCCTGTCATGACTCTAGATAAAAATAGAAAAAAGAGGCAAGATAAACTCTCCCAGTTAAATAGCACAAAGAGAAACCTCAAAAGCAGGGGAGGATGAAGTTGATACAATAGTAGGAATATGAAGCCCCTGATGGATATATTTACGGTAGATAGAGGACCTAATCCAGTCTTAGTTGGAATAGCAAATATCCTGTAAATTACACCAGAGGCTTATTTATAATATATTTGTACTAACTGTCCTGTACAACCTTCTTATCTCCTAACAAAAAGATATAGCCATGTGACCATAGCTCAGGTCACCATTAGAAACATTTGTACATATGTCAAGCATGCTGAAAATTATAGACTTTAACATAACTTTGATTAACATGTCAAAGGATTTCACACAAAAGAGAAAACACAATATCAGTAGAAATATAAAGGATAAAACAAAGAAAAGCAATAGAAATTCATATGCTAGTTGAAAGAAAGAAAGGCTTTAATAATGCCATTAGTGTAAAAAATTTAGAGCATTTTAAAACAGGTCCACAGAAGCATCTCAAATTAAAATGCACAGAAAAAAAAGAAAAACAAAGCAATAAATAGAGAACAAAAATATTTGAGGAAATAATGGTCAAGGACTTTACAAAACTAATGACAGACTCATTATCATAAATTTAAGATACCCAGAGAATAAAATCACAAAATAAAACAAAACAAAAATCTATACAAATACTTTGTCAAATTCTAGAAAATCAAAAAATTTAAAGAAAGCTGGGTGGGAGGTCCTGCCTATAAGAAAAAGGACTAACAGTAACAGCAGACTTCTTATCACAAACAATGCCAGCAAAGAGAGACTGGAGAAGACTATTTAAAAATGGTTTTTTTTCTGAAAATGTATTGTTCAAATTTGAATTATGTATTTTTTGAAGTTAGCTTTGACTTACTCTACTTTCTTCTTTTGAGTGTTTCCAGTTTGGAAAATACCATCACAACTAAAGGCTTTATAAAACTATGTTTCTGGCTCCTCATTTATCTGGAAGCATTTCAATTTATCTTGATTGGGTAGTTCTATCAGTGAACAATGATGTCAATTAACATAATCTCCTAAACTGAACCTGACATCAAATAAATTACCAATGTTTGATATGCATAGGTAACAGAATTACTTTGCTAATGACTCATTGCTGTTGATTTCTTGAAATGTAAATTGCCAACATGGTTCTTGTTTGAATTTAACAATCCGAATTATGTACATCCCAAATTATATAGCTGTAATATAACTTAATTTAAGTCTAGGGCAGTACTTTTGGATTTTAACTTATCAACTACAAAAAGTACTTCCTAAAGTTTTACGTAAGTCCCTTCTAAGATATCGTGTTGCATTTTGTATGTTTGTGTAAAAATCACTGGAAAATGACCTATTTACGGTCCATGTTTAACACAACAATTTTTATATTTTTTTCCCATATAAAAATATGAGGAATTTTAAAAAACAAATGAGATGTTAAAATTATTTGACTAAAGTAAATTTAGCTTCCAAGGATGTATTCAAATGATTCATATTTCCCTTTGATTGAATGATACTATTTGGAGGTGGCATTGGTGATCATAAACACTTGGATAAATGAAAGGAAGGCTGAAAGAAAGAGTATACAAATTAAAAGTTACTCACTGAAGAAGAGTATGTCTACCTATTTGAGTCTAAAGTCAGAATCTAGGGTTCTAAAATAGTAAATTTTCTTTTTATTTAAACCTAAGATACCCAATTGCATTAATTTACCCAATTATAAAATGCATTAAAATCATCAAAAAGAACTTTACTTTCTCCTATTCTATAAGGAAAACATTTTCACTCATTTTAATGTAGTTCAAGCAGACTGAAAAGATTCATTAATAAAATGAAAACATAAAATAGTATCAATTTGCCTTCAAGAGGAGGAAGCCTGAAGTATTTAAGAACTATTTCAGTGACAGTCATTCTACTATGTGCCTTCTATAACAGAGATGATATGAAATATAATTCCCCAGACTGCATTGTCTACCTAAGACATGCTTCCACTGTAAATGCCAGTTAAAAGATTAAAAATGGTATTGAATTCACTTTTACATTTCCCATGTCTCTCGGCCTTTGGCACTGTGCAGAAATGACATTCAATATTTTTCTGTACAGCTTTTCCAGAGAAGCTAACAAAATCCTGTACTTACTTTGCTCTGACAATCTGTTAGAATAAGATTAGTTAAAATTCCTGCTTCTCTTTGTATGCACAATTGGACATAACAGATCTTTATCCCCTGGTGATCGAACTTTAAGTTGCCTTCTTGGCATATTAATATAAACACTCTATAGAAAACATAAGCAATGTAAAACATAATTATTGTTTATTCACAAGGGGTGCTTTTCTCAGTTGTGTTATCTTCCATATTTAATGAGGATTGAATTCCTTTCACAGTCTGTTCGAGATTAAGATGAATTCACACATCGAACCTATCTCTTCATTCAAAAGTAAGTCTAAAAGCAGGAAATACTTATTGAAGACAAATCTTGTTGAAGGGCTATGATGTATTAGATTTATACACTTATGCCTACTTCTCAAATGTCCTTAAGAGCCTCCAGAGAAAAGAATGAGACATAGATATTGAATTCAGAAGGATTTATATTATGCCTGAAGTGCCTTTCACAGTTAAATGTATTGAATTGTATCTCCAATTCAGTTGAGAAAATGTATTCATTTGGGAGTGGGTTTCAGGTAAGCACGACTATCAAGAATGCCAGCTGATATGAAGCTGCAGTTCTTATTTGAGGAAGGATGGACATAGTTAAGGTGGTGTTGAATGTTCTTATTTTGACTAAATTGGAGAAAGTGGATTGGGAGAGAGCAGAGGGGTCTATGGAATTAACTGATCACTGAAGCTGATTCTAAGCCAATATGAGGCTGCAGAGTTGAAGCTTAAAGAATCAGGCTACCTACTGGTCAACAAATCAGCACTTTTCCACCTTCGGTATCATTCTGCACACACCCTAATGTCATACACATATTGACCATGCATTTTCCAATCAATTAATTTACATTTGAACAACAAAACTGGCTACCTGCTTTATCATAGACAATCTATAGCACTACTTTATCTTGACATTTACACTAAGTATGACCTAACTGAGTAAAATCAAACATAAGGGACACAATGTTTGGAAATTATGTTTGTAAGAACACATTCATTAGAGCGCAGACCAGCAACAAAATCCTTTGCTTGGATCTTGAATATTCCCCTCATAGTTAGAAGGACTGGTCTCTATTTTCTGGCATGTTAGGGAGGTGATAGAAGCTTTAGAAAGTGTAATCTAGAGGAAGAAAGTTTGATCTCTGGAATCATACCCTCAAAGAAAATATTGGGGTCCTGTCGCTTCCTGTGTTTTCTTCCTGGTCTCTGTGAGTCCAGCAGTTTCCATCACGTGCCATCAACAGGCCCCAAACAGTAAGTTGACACGAACAATGGGTGATATCTTAAGCTATGAGCCATTAAAAACTCTTCCTCTGTACGAATACATTATCACCTATACATGGTCACAACTGCAAAAAGCTATATAGCACAGCATGTTCAAAATGTTTAGTTTATATTAAGTAATTTTCATAGAAACTACATAATTTGTATCCATTAGTCACATTTTTCGGGGGAAAAAGGCAAAAATCGATTCTCTACCTTTAATTAAGGGGTCAGATAATTATAAAGTATATGACAAATGTTAGTGAAAGTGTTATGTAAAATAACTTTTAGCTAAAAGTAGCATACATTCCCTAGAAGTTTGTAGGATGAGCAACCAGAAAATTAGCAACTACGAGAATTTCAAATCTTATAAACAAAATATATATAAAATATGAAAATAATATCATGTAGATAGACTACAGTAAGTAATCTAAAAAAAGGTAATAATATGCCCTGTAACACATAGCATGTTATACTTACTCTACTATCAAATAAAATTGTGTGGACTTTAAAAAATTATCCCAAATAATTTTACACACATACTTTACATGATATATTTTCATTTAAAACAGTAACAGCTGGGTGCAGGTTGCTCCTATCTGTAATCCTAGCTACTCAGGAAGCTGGATCTGAGGACTGAGGTTAGAAGCCAGCCTGGACAGCAAACTCTGTGAGACTCTAATTTCCATAGCGACCAAAAAGCCAGCCTCAACTGGTAGACAGCTAGCTTTGAGCCCAAAGCTCAGGGATAGAATCAGCCCCTAAATCAAGCTCCAGGACCAGCCCAAAACACAACAGCAACAACAGAAACCTCAACAAAAACACCTCATACCAAAAACCAGTAATAATATCAGATCTGATCAATGTATTCTTTGACTAGCTATTTCCTTGATCAAATGAAACAAGAGATCAAAAGCATACATAAGACACAATGATCATTGATGTACTGCATAAGTTAAGTAAACAGTAAAGAATGGTTTCCTGTAGGCTTCCATTTTGTTTGGGAATTTCCTAAGATGGCAAAAAAAATATTTGCTATAGTAACTAAAGTTAAAAGAAGAGTTCTCACAATATCATTACTTCAGTATATGTATAAGAACACATTTTGTTGCAAAACAATTTAGGAGTCTGGAGAAGTAGACAAGTATGAATGAGTTTCCACTACTTACCTCTCTTAACATTTCTGCTTGAACTGGTGGACTTATCTGAGGGACATGGGCACCGTCCTTCACATTTCACAGAAATCTGTTTTCCTAAGACACATGCCTGGTACTCTAGTTTGCACTGTATAAAAAGGGAAAATATATTAATTCAAGTACATTGAGTTATATCAGTAGAAAGTCAAGGAATATAGACAAATAAAAATAAGCTGCCATGCATGGAACTTGGAATTCTAGCAGAAAGTGTATCTCCAATGTTAAGGTTAAAAATTTGTACACTAATGTATTATTGATTGTTCCCTGGTTAGAACAGGAAGGTGGTAACTTTGGGTGCAATTTTGGTGAGGTATCACTGAGGAATCCAGTAGTCTCAAAAGTGGTCCCTGCTTTTTGTCAGCTCAGCTGTGTGAACCATATGCTAGTATGAAATCGAAAAAGAGTTATCAGAGTTTGGTGGTAGACCTCTTGAGCTCCATTTAAAACATTGCTTACTAGTTAGTTGAGTATATCTTATCTCTCTTACTGAAATCTAAGTTTTGGTCCCAGAGAATTTGTCCTTGAGTGTTTAGCTAGGGACATTAGTGTTTAGCTAGGAACTTAAACATCACTCAATGATCTATCACACATTAGGCTAATGATTGCCAAATACATATGTAGGAATTGACATCTTTATGAAATGTTTCCACCTTTACTTGTAAATCCTGTAAATACACCAAAATATACCCAAAGCCAAAATATGCTGAAAGAGTAAATTTAGGTACTTATATAAAATATATAACCCTTACCTGACTTCATACTTATGATACACTAAACATACATAATTTCCTTTTACACATACATACAGAAAGAACATACATTGTGTTTTCTTCTTCATGTGCAAATGTTTTTGAACTTACTTCTTTCTAGGCCTCACGTTGGAACAGCTGTGCAGGCATGATATGATATTGTATCACAAAACTGTTTCCACAAACCTAAAGATTATTTTACTTATTTTAAGAAAAAAATCATGATTCACTTCAGTGCTTAAAAGTAGCCAAGATAGCAATGATGGAGGGAGTGACAATATGACCTTTATGACTATATTGCATGTGCTATGGAAAAGAGAAAGGAATGGTAGAGAACAAAAAGATTGATTCCTTAATTCAGATCTTGTGCTATTTTCTAAATGTGGCATTTTTGGGATAGCTTCTCAATGTTTGCATCTCATATTTCCTGCACAAAAATTGGACTAAAAGTAACTCATTTCCAGAAAAGTCTAAGAGTCAACCAGGTAATTTTTCTCAGCATACTAGTTACCATGAACAAAATAATAAATATTCATAAAAATGAGATGAAATTAAAACTATCAATGGTATTATGAAATATGAATTATTATTTAGTTTAGTTTTACTTGACTGATTTTCCTTGCAAATATTTTTCTTTGCAAAAACCTGAGTGTTTTTATTTCTTACTTAAGATGATCTTGTACAACTGTAGTTTTGACATGATTTTAAAAATGTTCATCCTATACTATATTTTAATCAGCAGTGATTATCTTCCTACTCTAAAAGAAATAGATCTTGCTAATTCTGAAGTAATATGATTTCTTTAGTGGCTACTGTCATAATTTAGTCAGGATAAATCATTTAAAAACTAAATAGGGTAGACTTTCTGGCTCCAACTGATGAATGCACCAGTGACTAATTTAATTTCACTTCAACTGATATCAAGAAACACTGAATACACCCAATGGCTAATCAGATTATTCACATCTCTACAGCATTTTCATTTGCCTTGTCAAATAACTTTTTAATGGAGGAGGAAGATGCTTAAATTGTCCTTCAATAAATGATTAAAATTACTATGTACTTTGAATGTGCATTCGGTATTATATTGGCACTTTTAGACATTCATTTCAAAGGTAATTCCACGTTTTGATAACCAAAACTGATTTTTGTCTCGTAAACCATAATAAACATTAAATGCAATTAAAAATTACCAATATCAAATCAAAAAGTGAAACCAAAAGTTAAGCATATGAGTGTTTATTGAAAGCCAGAGGAATTATATAAAACGTTGCAACTTTTAATATTTTTATTGTAATGTCCCTTAAGTTGATTTCCCTACCTTGAAACTGGTCATATCTAGGCACTCTAAAACAGTAAGACCAAAGGAGAATATCCTTAGGAGAGGAACACAAAGGCACAATATCTACATGCATCTGATCATATAAAATAATATTCATTGGGGCTGGGAAGGTGGCTCAGTGGTAGAGCGCTTGCCTTGCATGCCTGAGGCCCTGGGTTCGATTCCTCAGCACCACATAAGCAAAAAAGAAAAAAGCCAGAAGTGGTACTGTGGCTCAAGTGGTAGAATGCTAGCCTTGAGCTGAAGAGCTGAGGGACAGCGCCCAGGCCCAGAGTTCAGGCCCCACAACCGGACCCCCAAAAAAAATATTCATTGAAATGAACTTCAGGAAACGGAAACAAGAGGTATTTACTTTGTTGGAAAAAATCTGGTCTGCCTGTCACTTATCAAGAGCAATTTTAACCCATAAGTCAATATTAACTATAGCTAACAATTGATTTTACATTTGAAATTACTGTTGCTCTCTTCAAAGATGTTCTCTGTCATACCTATTTGTATTTCAGCATTGCATTTTTTCACATAATAAATGAATGGACTAATAAATGAACTAACAAAAATACAAAATAATTATTTCCTATTATAAACATGTATTTTCTGGATAAAAGCTGATGACTTTTTTATTGTTAGATACTAGGAAAATAATAAGGATGCATTATATATATAATATATATATGAAATTTTAGGTCTTTTCATAATATTTCACTTCTTAGCAATATTTCTGCAGCATATTTACCACTCAAATTTGATGCTATCTTCAAGATTTTTTATAACTATAGTTTTGCAATGAGATACATTATATATGATTCTATCAGATGCTTTTTTCTCTCTGCTTTTCTGTAAAGACAAACAAAATCAAAGTCTAGCAAACATACACTATGTATAAAATCATATGAATTTAGACCTCTGCAATCAAAATATTCCACTTAGTTTTATTTAGATATGGATTGCTTTGGAGAAAAGAAATCTTTATGAAGAATTCTACTTAAATTATATAAATTATATTTTTTTAAAAAACATGAAAATGTCTGGAAATTTTTTAGCTATATCATCTGATTGCATTTCTAATTAATACTGTTCAGTTTACTTAATTATCACAAAGCTGAAATATTTATCAAGGTGTAAGGGAATTAAAATATCACATAAAGGGCATGCTCATTAGTCGATAATTGCCAAAAATGCAAATGATGTACAGAAAGACATGATTAATGCATTTCTGATTAAGATGCTTAAGTTATGATTTACTGTGAAAAGCAAGGCTGAAGAAGATTTTTAACACGTCACAGACATATATTTTATGATCACTTGTTCAACAACAGGATCAAAGAGAAGAAAATAGGGTCTTATTTTCTGAGAAATCTGCAATGTACAGAGACCTTAACTGTAAGAATGAGTAAACACGGGGGAAAGCTATTCACATCTTTTCTCAAGTTGATGTCATCAGCATACCCATGGAGGAAGGTTCAGGCCAGCAGACCTCAGCTGGGAATGATCTATCTCCTGCCCTCTAGTACATCTGGAGATATTCTTGTTACTGCTAGGGACAGTGGTGGAGGGATTGCTGCTGGTATCTACTAAGTATATGCCTGAAAAGCAGAAGACAGCAACACCCCAACACACACACACACACACACACACACACACACACACACACACACAGAGCAAAAAACAAAACAACTATTTGGACACAAAGGTCAATAGTGCCAATTTATAAAATTTGTGTTCTTTTCATTTAAAATGGAAAGATTATATTATCTGAGAAATAAGTGTTAATGTGAATATCTGAGTGAATGATACACATTCTGCTATTTTTTAATACACAGCAACAAGAGAGATAGGCACAGATGTGGCCCTCTCCTACATTGTCCTCCAAAAAATGGATTATGCTTACATTCTGTGAAATGACTGATTTTTTTTCAGATACAAATATCTATAGGTAACTTTGTACTTAATGGTAAAAATTCTAAAGGGTTTCCTTCTAAATTGAGACTAAAGGCAAAAAGCTACATTACACACTGGAAGCCCTAACAAGGAAAATAAGTAAAAGCATAAAAATATTCCAAAAGGATGAAATTAGATAAGTCTGTCCACATTCAGAGAGGATGACTCTGTACACAGGCAATTCTGAGAGAGCTATAAAATGCTACTAGAAATAATGAAGGAATTTAGCAAAGTGGTGGTATATAAAGTGGATGTAGGAATGTAACCCCACACCATAATAGCAATAAATCATTAAAAATAAAATTAAACTTAAAATAACACTATAACATTTTCTCAACAATACATTTAATAATAGGGATTTCTAAATAACATTTTTAAATAAAATCAACTAACGAATAGACATATAATGTATGTGCATTTGAAAATTCTGTTACTAACAAAAAAAAAAATTCTGTTACTCAAATCGTTTAAATAGGGATACAGGTGGACCATTGCAACAATGAGATGTACACGTCGTTATGTCAAAAATGAACTTTACAACTTTGGTGGAGGGGGAAGGGGGAGCGGGGAGGATTGGGTTGGGGGGCGGGGGGAGGATGGGAAGGGATGGGAAGGGGAAACAAAGGAGGAAGCTACAATGCTTGATAAGAAATATACTCATTATCTTGCCCATGTAATTGTAACCCCTCTGTACAGTATTTTCACAATAAAAAAAAAGAAAAAAAAGAAAAGAAAATTCTGTGTTGCTAAGATATCTGAATTCTTCCATCTCACCTATAAATTCAACAAAATCTAAGTCATAATACTAGCAGTGGGTGAGGGCGTTTTTGTTTTTTGGTGGAAATGGTAAACTGATTATAAATTCATAGTTAATTGCAAACAGTAACACCTAAAATAATATTAAAAAGGCAAGAGCCACTAAAATTGAATGTTAATGTAAACATATAACAAATTAGGTGGAAGTACAAGTGCAAGGAAAGACAAATAGTTCCTTGGAATATAAATAAAGAGAAAAAATCAGCATTTTTAAGGCACTTCATTTTTAACAAAAGTACCAAA